TCTTTGTTTGTTATTCTTCTGACGCTGATTCAGTAAGTCTGTTGGCAATTGTGTCTTGCTGCTTTTTAACACTTCTCTATTTAGATTTAACTTGTTTCTATACATTGCTTAGGGTACCACTCAAGAGTGGTTCAACTTGGTAAAACACATGGAATTCAAATAAGTCATTCAATGAAGCTATTGTGCTGTCTCTTTTTGCAATAAGTGTTAAAAAAATATATTTTAGGAGGCATAATATTCTACTATCTGCATATAATAAATATAAATTTTAGTTACTAGCATAAAAGTTTATTTACACGCTTCCTAAAACATAGAATCAATGCTTCTTGGATTTCTTTAAATAGACAGGTATCTTTTGCTTGAATGTAAACAGTTTAATTAAGTATGTGAATACTTGGTCAATCGTTGACAAGAGTAAAGTCTTTACAATAACATTAGAAGTGATATCTAAATTCTTAAACTCTTGAACTTTAACTTGGAAAAACGAGGTTGGTGGTAAATAAGGAATTGTTTTACCTTTCAGCTGTCAAATTTACCCGTTTAGTTGGGTTCTGTCAGCTTGTGTGTTTCTGAAGTCTTGAGCTTTCAAATGCCTTTTTGTCGAGCCTCGTGACTTGTGACTTGTTCTCTTCGCAGTCCTGGCTATTTGTCAGCATATGCTCTTCCCTTCTCAGCCAGTGCAGATTTTTTGACTGATTCGAACTCGTGGTCGAAGGTGAAGAATAAGAAGACCAGGTGTTGACACAAGAAACAGAAGAGTCAATGTTTGCTCTTTATATTGACGAAAAGTAATATATTCTGGTCCGCCCTTCTACTGGTACTGTTCGCATTGATTACACAAATACTTATGTTACCCACCGAAGGGGGTATTTAAATGTTTTTTAATCCTCTCTGGATTCAGAATTTGTAAAGAAATCATTAATTAGGCAAATCAACCAGTATAATTTGCTAAAGAGTTGGTTAAACCAAGTTTACAAGCTAGGAACTTAAAATTTACATTGCTCAGATGATGGCGAGGTTTGGCATAAGCACTTTGGGTAATAGTGCTCGCAGAGATTTTTCAATGATGACAAACACTAACCAAACCATTATAGTGTAGTCAGTTGTTTGTATAGTATTTAGGGTGAGGTTGGAATTGATGATTACTCGCACTTTTGTAATGCATCTGATCCTGTCCAAATTTTCTTGCATTATTAGAAACCAGAGAGCTACAGTCTTTCACCTTTAGACAGAGCGTGTTTTCTTTGAGTTGTGAGGAGGGTTAAGGTGGTTTTTGCATTGGCTTTGTGTAGTTTTTCAGAACATTTCAATCCGCAATGAACGTGTTTCAATGTTCTCTGTTTTGTTTCCAGGAAAGGTACATCTGTGACCTCAGCAGTTAGGAGACCAAAGCAATTTGCTCTCTATACCTTCCCCAACAAGTTGTCATCAAAAGAGCTACTAATTACCAAAAATATTACCCCAATGGAACTCTGTGCTGAGTACTGGAAATTCTTCATCTCATGAAAACCAAAACATGTTTGCAGATTAGCTAATGATGAGAAATTTGGATTTCAGACTTTCTCTTTGACAAGCCAGTATGCTGCGCTATATGCCTTAAACATGAGGTCATTTCTGTGGAGTTTCTTTTCCTGCACTTTTTTTTTAATGAAATGCAGAGTTCACAATTTTTGTCAACAAAATATAGAGACTTGTCCCTGTATTTAAGACTCAATGGGATCTTTGTGTTGCTGGATCATCTCGTAAACTGTTCACAGGGTGTGGCGTGAAAATTTTGTTTTGCTTGCATAAGAAGCAAAACATTCCTTCTCCTTCTTGCAAGTGTTTAGGCTCTTCTGGAACAACCAGTTGTGCACAAATCTGTCCTGTCCAGACCTAAGCTGAGATTGTGAGTTGATAGGTGCTATAAATGGTATCTAGCGTACTTGTAGAAGTTGTATATGATAATGTCTGTTGAAAGGGGAAATAGTATTTCAACTTCTTTCATAGTCAGAGGTGTGTCTGAAGGTGATTTCTCTAGGTTTTGCATCACCTCTTTTGTTTGTAATATTGTCATACTTCCCTCCCTTGGTTATTGAGGAAACTATCTGTTCATATGCAATCTAACTTTGAATCATCTTCACTTGCTTTGCACTGACATAAGCTGTTCTCTGAAAGTTTCCTCAGCTCAACATGCCTTACCTCTCACCCCTCTATTTTCACTTTAGTTAGTTCTTGCTGATACTTCTGGAATAGCTGCTCTGTGTGCTAAGAGACTACATTTGCCCATTTTCTGAAGTGTTTGGGAGACCATTCAGGGGTGAAGTATAGCATATGCCCCAAGTTGCTATCAACTTCAAAGAACTGTTTATCTGTAATATTAGGTTGAGTAAACAAAGAAACATTGTCTGTAAAGCAACCTCGCTGCATGAACTACCATGAACTAACTTCTGTGGCCTCTGATCACTTTTCATCTCCTCTTGGTACTTGCTTTTATGTTGCACTACATCTGCACTAAGAAGATCTTCAATTGGTCTTAGATTCAGGCTTTAGCATGGCCATAACAATGCCTGATATTCTATAAAAGTCATTTCCATGTGGTTTTGAAGCTTACATTGTTTACGTCCTTGGCTTAGCTTCCACATGGTGACACGACCATTGTGTAATAAGTAGCCTGTCTTTTGCCATTTGTCGCCAGGTTGCTGTGGAAAGATTTCTCAGTTCCAGGTGGAGGCATATTCATAACTGAGTGGAAGTGGCCTAAAATAAGACATTAAGGCTGTATTTAAAGGAAAAAATGGAAACAAGTAAAATCTAAATAACCATATCTTAAGAAGTACATCAAAAGTATTAAAATACATTAAGTGATAATCTAATCTACAATATCTACTCTAATTTAGCTATGTGTCATATAAAACACTACACCACAATGAGAAGACTGTATCTCACAACTCAACCATTTTATTTAAAGTCACTTTTAATGGCATGCAATACAAGCAAACAAGGTAAAATATAAAAAAATTAATAAAAATAATCAAAATATCAATGTGCAGTCGCGAT